TATTATATAAGTACTATACGTACTGTACGTACTGTACGCTAAAAAATTTTGGACATCATATAAATGGCACATCACTATATACAACACTTTACTTTCATTAATTTAACCACTCGCCAAATAAAAATGCCTCTTTCGTCACCGGATTTATTGGTCGGTTACTCGAACCTGATTGCTGCGGAACGATTGACAGACCGACTCCCGTTTTACAACGTGTTACGACTGTTTTGAGAGCAATACGAGTTAATGCACAGTTTAACTCCAGCTTCAACTTTGTGACAATTTAAGAGACGTTAGTTTATTAATTATTCATGCTTTTATTATCGAGGAAATTCCTAATTTTATTAACATGAAAAACTATACTCACAACCGTTGCTCACAATTCCACACATGGATTACATCTATGCGCAACAATAGTGAATCATCCAAGCTCAAATAAATTGTCACGAGAAAAGCGTGTCAATAGTCATCTTATTCAAGGCTCTAATAATTTTAAAAACTGGTGGTAAAAAAGTCATCTTTTTCAATATTGTATCAGTTTCACTTTACACCAACTTTTTTCATCATTATTCTGAGGCAGATTAACTAGGGGTCACTGGGAACAAATTCAATGACATGAATATGGTACTCATTCTAATATAGTATTCAAGTGCTTATTTATTATTTCAAAATCTGAATTAACTACAAACAATTACAATGTGTATGTTGTGAGATAAAGCTAACGTACTCCGTTTTTAATAGAGAAATTCCACGGTTTATTGGCATATTATATGAATAATACATGAGTTGGCTTTTTTTGCTCATCACTCTAAGTAGTTTAGCAAGGCTGAATACACTAGTACGACACATTTCTTTTCTTGCAAATAGTGAAACCACAACAACCACAATCTGTGATTAACCTTTAAATCATCACTCAGAAAAGGAAAATTTATGACATGTCGCACAATTATTTGCTCTGAACAATCGTTATTTTGACGAAAATATAAACTTAATCCCTCCAATATTATGGCAAAACTATTATTACCAATATCTAATCCTAAGAAAAGCAGAATTATTGATAAAAGAAGCTATAGCTTTATCTTCTATAATGAAAAGCTATGGAAACATTTAAAGAAAGATATATTGTCATTGTGACAAATGATGGAAGTGAAAAAAAACATCCTTTCACAAGTAGTCATTCTATAGCAAGAATTTTTTATATTTTTTGGTTTAGTTTTCTTTATTATTGGAATTATTCTTTTCATATTCTTCTGGATAGAAAAATCTGACTGTTTATTAGCAGCAACCGATTAAGTTTTGTTGTTAGCATTTTTTTTTATTTTTTTGAGCGTTAAAGGCCGCACTAAAGGAAAGGAATATAAAATTATAAATAATATGGAACTTCAAGAAATAGTTATTTTATCACCGGTAACTATGGAAAATGAAGCAATTGAAGAAATTACAGATAACCAACAACAGAATAACAATGTTCAGGGACAATTAACATCTACTACCAATGCTTCTATATTTACAATTAATTCTTCTCCGCAATTTGCACCTGACTTTGGAGTTAATGATGTTGATAAGAGAATTGATGGCGGATAGGAACAGAAAAAATATGTTTTAAAGTATATTTTTACTTTTTCTGATACATTATTCTTAAACTAAATATCACCAACTATTCATTTAAATATATGTAATTTTTTGAAAAAGCTAAGATAATATGCTGTATTTGTTTACTATCTTAACAAATTGTACATAACTAGATTATTTTAAATTTGATTGTTTGATATAAATTTACAGTAAAATACCAATGAGAAAATATTTCATAGAGCATTTGCGATTTTGACAAAAATTTCAATTTTCTACTTACCTATGGATAAAGCAACTCAACGCAACATATACGAATACTGCATTAATCGATTATGGATCAAAGTGGCATTTTAAAAAAACGAGAAATGTTGTTCACAGCTTTTGTCGACAATCTAGGTGCGCAGTTCAAAATATCCACGTGAACGTTGACAATATTTTGATTGGCTGAATCCAAATAAACCCAAATTAATTTTGTATCACACGCCAAATGTTCTAGGCAATAAATTACTTAGTTTTGTTCATCATTTATTCGCTAAATTTATAAAACTTGGCATAAAATTTTATTTTTTAGCTGATAGAATTACTTAACGAGTGCCTTTATGAAATATTATATTTAGTTATCTTAAAGACCATTATAGACACTAATATTCATGTCTTCTTGTAAACCGTCAATGGTGTATAAATACAATTACATTATTAAGGAGTGAACCGTTAAAACGTTGCAGTGATCGAAGACTTATATGAATATATCTTTTACCATTAAATACTGAAGAAAATTCATTATTAATTCCATTAAATATATCAATTCTAAATAATTTAAAATCATTATTTGAATATACATCTTATACTACTTATAAATATTATGATATATGTAAACAATATGATAATGTGATTGAAACTGTTGAATATTCTTTAATTACAATGTTAATAAGAACAAGTAAAAAAATCAAGTATTTTAATTATTTCAATATTGATGAATTTACTAATAACAAATTATGGAGAATAGTAGGTAAATTTCTCTATGAAAGCACCAAGATTACTTCTTTAAATCTTTTTAATAGTAAACTTAGTATTGAAGATATAAAAACGATAGCAAGTGTTCTTTATAAAAACGTCAGCCTAAATCTTTTAGAACTACATAATTGTGAACTTGGTATTGAGGAAGCGAAAATATTAGCAGAAGCTATTTGTGAGAATACTACCTTATCCACCTTAAATCTTTACGATAATAAACTTGGTTATGAGGGGACAGCAGCATTAGCAAAGGCACTTTATAAAAACACAACTTTAAATCTTAGCTCTAACCAATTTGGCCATGAAGGTGCAAGGATACTTGCAAAAGCTCTTTACAAAAATATTTCTTTAACTTCTTTGAGCCTTTATATTAATAGACTTGGCGTTGAGTACTTTGTAAGTATACCACTTGACCTCAATGGATCTTTATTATAATAAACTCGGTTTTGAAGGAATAAAAGCAATAACAGAGGCACTTTACAAGAATTCCGTTTTAACTTCTTTGAATATTGGAAGCAATGAGATTAGTTTTGAGGGAGTAAATATGATAACAGAAGCTCTTTATAAAAACATCGCTTTAACTTCTTTAGATCTTAGTAGAAATCAACTTTGGTTTAAAGAAGCAAAGGTATTATCAGAAGCATTACGAAGAAACACTACTTTGACTTCATTAGATCTTTACGGTAATCACCTTGGTCCTGAAGGAGTAAAAGTTTTAGCGAAAGCACTTTGCGTGAACACCACTTTAACTTCTTTGAATCTTAGTAGTAATCAAGTTGCTTTCGATGGAATAAAAGTATTATCAGAAGCTCTTTGTAAAAAACACCACTTTGACATCATTAAATCTTAGTAATAATTTATCAATTTATAAAACAGTAAAAGAATTAACGAATGCTCTTTGCAAAAACACTACTTTAACTTATTTAACTCTTTCTAACAATCGTCTTACTTTTAAAGAAGGGCAAATATTAGCAGAGATGATTTATAAAAACATCACTTTGACATTTTTAGATCTTAGTGGTAATAGACTTGGCTACGAAGGAGTAAAAGTACTAGTAGAATCACTCTATAAAAATACTACTTTAATTGATTTAAGTATTTATGACAATCAACTTAGCTCTAAGGAATGCAAAACTTTAACAAAAACCCTTTACAAAAATAATTCATCAATTTCATTAAAGAAATTTATGTAAGGTAATGATTTCAAAATTTAGAATATTTGATATATTTAGTTTGTCAAATAAATTATGAAAGTTTTATATCCAAGAAATCCAATTATTTCAAATAGTCTGGGTTGAGCTAATTAAATCAATGTAAGACAGTCCAAACTTAACTGATCTTTAACTTTTCAAGCGTCATAAATTATCTGCAATTTGCAATTATACTTGAATTTAAGAAAACTTATATAGGTCATATCTAATTAACAGCGAACCGAATCTTTTGTGGTAGTTTAATACGTAAAAGGATGAACTATATTTTTTCATAGATTATGATGAAAAAAAAAGCAATTTGTTATAATATTTTCTAAGTTGCACAACATTACTATCTCATGTACATAAATATACAAATATTTACTAGCTTTAAAATTCTTTTAAAAGGTACAGCAAGTTTGTAATTACTATATTAGTTTTGAGAAAATAATAAAAAATTTTTTGCAAAGTATTACGTAGTTCTCTAAAAACTTTTTTTAATCAATTTCCACAATTTCGACACCATTAATGTAATTATTATTTCTATTGTCACTCCTGCCGGCTTCATTTTCGCCTGATTCTACATTGGAGGAAGACCATTTTGTGGAAATCCACCAAGAAGGTACATCGTCCTTTGGACGACTGTTATAGTCAATATAATTTTCATTTTGCCATCTTTTTCGATATAATTTGGATCCAGTCACTTCGTCACAACGGTGCAGAAGGCATGCAATCTAATTTTTTAAAAATGAAATTAGCCGATAAGCATTAAATACAAAATAGACAAACTAACTCGAAAATCTAAAATGAATAAGTCACCCTCGCAGATCTCCATGGTTTATTAACTACTTTAATTACACTATTGGTATTATAAATATTTGCTGGTCTTTCGTCATTTTCTCGTTCATCATTGGCAAGTTCTTCATCTGTATCAGATTCCTCTGCTGATTGTAAAGCAGAATCATTCACAGCACTTTCTAAATCACGTAGATATTCATTCCAAGAGATTCTAGGAGGTTGACTATTACGAAGAACTGGATCATTCACATAAATCATATGCTTTAATCCGTTAATTCGACGGCGCATTTTCTTTAAAAAAGAGATTAATTGAGATAAGACATTTATAAATAAAGGTCTTTCAGTTTTAAAAAAGAGATTACAGTATAAAGTGATGCAAATTACTTACCCTAGCAGTTCGTGAGGAAATGTGTTTTCTCTTTTTATATTTCACCTCTCGTTGTTCATTCTTCCAGAAACCGCGACGACTCTTATGAAGTTGTTTTAACACAGCGACTAATTCATCATCAGTAAATAATAACGTAGGACTAATTTTTTCTTTAATAGCAGGCACAGTAAAATAAGTAATATGATCAATTTGTTGACTAAAATATTGAGTTATTTTGAATTGATGCGAAGTTGGTAATTTATCTAAAATTGAAACCACTTCATCACGAAACACATGTTTAAAAATTGGATCCATTGGTCTAAGATTTTCATCAGTGCAAGGTTTAGGAGATACTCTTTCCGATTCATTGGGATGAGAAGATGGTAAGTTTAATTCGCTAGGTCGAGGAGAAATTTCAATTGGTGTGGGAACATTGATTTGTTGTCGGTTAGTAGTATCTCGTATTTCAGCACCACCATAATCAGTACTAATAGGTGTAATAACTTGTGTAGATCCTGATCTTTCAGCTTGCATGGCCTGAATTTGACAAGTTAAATCAAAAATTTGCCTCGTTAAGAATTGCACATAATTTGAATCAGTTTGATCCTCTTGTTTGATAACAGGATGAGGAGGAAGATTCTCTTGATTATTAAAATAGTTGTCTCTTTGATATTCAGGATAACGATTACTTCTTCGATATTCGGGGGAGCGATGACTCCTTCTATAATCAGGAGAACAATGGTCTTTATATCTTGTAAAATGGTCTCTAAAAGTTCTTCCACGACTTCTACTTCGAGAACGGCGGCCTCGATATGGGGAACGTCGACTTCTATGTGAATAATCTCTTGATATATTACGATCATAACTATCATTACGTGAATAGTATCGATCACGGCTCCGGCTATCTCTTCTCGTGTGTCGGCTTACACGAGAATATTCTCTTTCATCAGAGTAAGATGTGGTTTGAATAGGATGCGACCTTGAGGGGAAAGAATTTTCTGAAAATTCGCTCTTTATTCTTCTATCAAGTTGAGTAAGATCGATACGATTACGAGGCATGATGAAAATAAAACATAAATAGACTGTACGTATTCTAGTTCAAAAAATTGAATGTAAGGATCATGAAAAAGAGAAGAGACGTATGGATCTCTTTATATAATAGACCAGATACACTATGGGTTCCTTTTTTTTTTATGCTTGAGTAGTATTGCATAGACTAAACGATGACTTATATTATGGGTGAATAACGAAATTTTCACTGCATAAACTACGTCATAATAGCAAAATGTCATAATACTCTAATGACGACTTTTGATTTTGTTCAAAGTCAATTTATTGAGTATAAAAAAAAATTATAAAAATTTTATTTGTAATACTTCGGAATAGCAAAATTTTTTATAGTATACAGTAGCTACTTATTGTTTTTTTATTTAGTATATGATAGCTACGTATCGTTAATTTTTTTATGCTTTTATAAACTAATACATCATCGATAAATATTGAATAATTTATCATGCAATTTCAATGTATATACGTGAATTTGATAAATTAAATTTTTATTGATCCGAACTAAAACAGTTATGGATAAATGAAATTTTAGCTTACACACATAAAAAAATCGCATAAGTTTGCTGGTTTCATTATTTGTAGGAAATATACATGTTGGGTTCGAAAATATGATCAGAGTTTGTCGTTAACGAGGAAGAGAAAAGTACTTATCAGAATAAACATAGTTACTTCAATTATATAATGAACGTTAACATAGCATGTCTACTTAGCTTATTAAGAAAATTTTAGCTTATATTTTAATTATTAAGTTTGATATAATCAATGCTTATATTCGAATTAGAATCTTTTAACAATAGGTCATATGATTCATATGTCATCATGGCACATGTTATTTTACGTCCTTTTGATAATGTCCATGGATTTCTTTATTAGCTTAATAATTATGATTTTAAAATAATAAAACGACCTTGGAATCATAATATTAATTTCTAATCGTTAATAAATTATGTTTTTTTTTTGTCTCTAATGTTAATGCAAAAAAACGTTGACTATGTCATAATGCATGACTAAATAACGTGACATCGATTTTTTTCAAGGAATAAAACTAACACGATGAGAACTTAAATATTCATTTCAGGTTTCAATTCAACAGTTCTCAAATATTATGATAGTTTCGTAAAGAAATTATTATATCAACAATATTTCTTTATAACCTAATCTCTACTTTGTCGCGAAAAAGTTAGGTATTTAACGTTCGCCAATTTCTTATACGTAGTTCGTTTATAAAAGATCATTGATAATTTTGTAAGCTTTGTCAACCATACATTCAAAGATTTTTTTAGTACATATCTGTACAAATAATCGTGTACTTTATTTATGAATTATGCATATTTTGCCGCGCTCATCAGACTTTCATATAAAACAACATTTTTAAAAAAAAATTTATAAGTTCAGCTTTTTAGCCAGATGAACTTACCTATTCAATTCATAAGCATTTTTTTTTTTCGATAGATCCATATTGTTGTTAGGCGAAACCTATTTTTAAAACGGCGAAAGACTTACCCTAAACCCAAAAAAGTCGAAAGTCGGAAACCTCTTGGCGAAACTTTATATCACAAAAGGTGCCGATTTCGTGATCTTTAAACCATGTGGACTTAAATTAAATAACGATAAACTTTTGGAAATAACTGGGCCGTTACTTTTTGTGACATAGGCTAAGCTTCATGAAAGATGAATTCATCGGTAGAAGCCCAAACCTACTATTCAACTAAAAGCAATCTATGTGGCTTTAACGTATTCTATAATAACTAGAGATGAAATTGGTCTTCAGCTCTATTGATTAATCGGTTTTTATTATATTAAGTGTACCAGCTGATTGAACAGTCTAACATTTTTAATTCCAACTTATAACGATCTTATTCAATATATTCAACAAATATGATAATCTTTATTCAATGTATAGCATCTGTTCATTACCTTATTTTGTTGTATTAATTCTTCTGCATCAATAAACTTAATTAACTCTCTTTAAACATTTCAGTTGCTTAGTTTGTTTATTTATGTTGCACTGATATATCCTATTTATGAGTTAGCCAGGGTTCCCAAAGTGCTAGTTACACAGGCCACATATAATATTGACAAAATTATTGATATCGGTATCTGAAGTAATTACTTCAGATATAAAAAATGAAACATATATATAAATGTTGTATAAAGTATATTTTTATGTATATACATGTATAAAAATATGTAATTAATTCGGAATAGTTATAGCTTGGTAATGATAAATAAAATACTTCAATCCTTTACATGATTTAAAATCCAAATATCAATATAAAAATAATAAATAAACAAATATTACTTACCGTCGGGAATTTCATAAATAATGGTTCTTGTTATCCAACATGATTTGACGGATGCATAGGTATCAGCAGGATAATAGTAAAAGTGCGTGGCCTACACTTACGTGCGTTACAATTATTATCAATGTTCATAATTCGTGTGTCATGCTGGATGACTAGTTTATCTGGCGTATTCTCCGACTGAAAGAATTTTTATTAAGTTAGTAATTTTTTTAGACAAGAACGATGGTTTTGCCTATAATTCAAAAAAAAAAAAAAAACTTCAAAACAATTCTAATGTTCGTGGAAGACCCTTTTAATAGAAATCCGCTAAGCTTTACAAAATTAGATAAATCAGATGTGGATAGTATATTAGCAGGATTCTTCTATTCATTTGGGAAAAAATTCATGGAAGCCATACAATATTACGTTAAACTGTAGACCCATTTTATTAGTCCTAATCGATGTTTATAAACATCAGAACAAATGCCAAAATTTGATTAAAATTAAAGATCAAATATATTTTTAATAATTTTTTAATGTAATATCCAATAAATTCAAATTTATATAGAATACCGTCTTCTTTTTATGAAAAAATTTTCTTGGTTGTCAATTAAATTAGCCAATCAATGAAATTTCAGCACAAGACGCCGATGTTTTAAAAAAAAGCCCTAGCCCAATAAAAAAACAGTTTGAAACATTTTTTTTATCATCTCTATTCTCCATAAATGTTAATATTGTAAATCTATATATCACTATCTATTGTTTGTGATGAGTAGTCGTCACGTTCTGACGATTCTGACGCTTTTTTACATTGTTGCCAATAATAAAAAACTAAAATAATGGCCAAAAATAAGAGGGCGGCCAAGGGAATAGCAGTGTCTAATAGTTTATAATAATTATCTTCACAGTTTGAATTTGAAATGCAGCTAACACTCTTAGAATTTAAAAGCAGATTATTAGATAATCCTATTCCTCCCAATTGAAATATGCACTTATAAGTAAACGCACTAAAGCCGATATAAATAGAAGTTACTATCACCTTTTTGACAGCTACTGCAAAATCATTACCACCAGCGCATACCCAACCACCATTATCGGCGAAGCACATTAAACTGTTATATATATTACCATGTCCGCAGTTTGTTGTCGCCCAACCATTATTTACAGTGACATTGTTTAAAGCTGTGCAATTATTGAAGACACTATTACAACATAACCAAGTAAAAGCAGAGTCTGTAGTTGGTCCATTTAATAGAGTATTAGATACGGCATTTAGAGAAGGACAATCAACATTAGTTAACTCTTGGAAGTTAGTTGCTGGTGTATCACCTAATATTCCTCCACACAAACCTCCAAATGCATCAGTCAAACTGGAACCAGTAGTAATGCAAAAAGCCGATTGATTAAGACTGACACACTGAAAAGTTATATCTACCATAGAAAAAGCATGAGCAATAGGAAATGTGGAACATTGACCATTATAACAAGCATAAGTATTATTAGCCGTTAAATTATTTTTAGCGTTATAATTGATAATTCCTTGGTAATTTACACTACCCACGCAATTATTAAATTGTAGGCCGCCTTTTACTTGTAAGCAATTAAATAAAATTACAAGCAATAAACTCCACATTTTATTGACGATTGTTACTACTTTCATAAAAGAGTCAAAGTGAGCTCAGAAGTAATCGAGAAACTAAGGGTATCTATGTAAAAGATCAATTCCAATAAATGCAATATGATATCTTTAAATCATGAAAATATTTTATATATCCAATTATATAGAATTTCAAAAGCGTTTTTTTCACAATCCTATATTAAAATTAGTTTCGTGACACCAAATCGAATACACTGTATAACTATCACATTCCATTTTTGGATGATCACTTATCAATTGCCATTTTTGTTATTTATGACGAGCGTACAATCGTCATATTTTTCTTCACTGAACTTTCTACAAGTACGTATTAATTATCTCATTCCATTCTTAGACGATCAACTAACTATCAATCGCCATTTTTATTATTTATGACAAATATACAATAATCAGGTTTTTCATTGAATTTCAGAATTTTCTGCAAGTTCGTACACATGCACCCATTGCTAGTAATTTTAAATAACCTAATTAGTCAGTACTTTTTTTTTGCATATACCCACGTGCTATAAAAGTAATAATAGTAATATTATAAAAGCCTATCTTGAATTAAAAGCTATTTAAATAAAATTTCAGTTAAAAAAAATATGCATATGCTACGCGTTATTTTTCAATTTAAGTCAATTAATAATTGATATAAATTATTTGTAAATTTTTCGCAAATTATTTAAAAATACTCATATGCGTCGCGTGTCGCGTAGTTTGCAACTACCTATGAATTTATCAGTTTTGGTCTTTTTACGCTTGCTTTTTTCCTTTTTACTAGTGTATCTTAACAGGTACTACCACCAAAGCGAAGGTGATAAAGATACGTGGTTTCTTAACTAGATGCTACTTTAGAAAACTAAACTTTCTATATAAGGCCACGCAAAGTTGATTTTTCGTTTTGCATTACATGGATTTCAAAATTAGGGACGGACGGACGGATTTTTTTTTTTTTGTATTTTTTTTTTTTTTTTAATTCAATTTACTGCAAATAGAATAATAATCACATTTAAGGTTATATTTGATAACAAGGAATCAAAAAATTGGGTTTAATTCAATTCGCTCTAATGATTTGTTGCAAGACATTAATTAACCATAATCATTCAATTATTCAATAAATTACCACTATATTATTTTTGAGATAAGAAAGTTTACAACATTTTTAACAATTGCATCAATGACATGTCTGAGTAGGTTCACGCTAATAGGTTAGTCGATAATCTAATGGGTTTTAAAATAATTTAATGGGTTAATACATATTCGTTAAATCTTTCTTGCAAATAGCGCAAAGTAGACCCTCATTAAATCAAACCAATTTCAATACCCTAATAATTGTCAGATCAATAAAAAGGTATCAAATAAGGGTCTCAAAGTAAATTTAGCGACTCTATTCAGGGTCAATTCCGTTGATTAGCGCATATAATATGTTAGTAATCAAATTTTTAAGATGGAATAAATATTATTTATAGGTAAGTTTTCTAATGTATATTTATAGGAGGTTCGATTAATACTTAATAAATTAGAAATAATGGTTTAGTTTTCATATAATCCATAAAAATAATTTATTAATGTTAATATAAAAATGCTACATCAAATTTTTTACTCTGAAACTAAATCGAATTATAAAGTCAAAAATTTAAGAAGAGTAAAAGTTTTTTTAAAAACTTGAGTTTATCTCTCGTAGTAAATTTATGTCTCAACTTGATCAACTATAACAAAATCATCATTCTTACTATTTGTGGAGGAATCATCAGCCTCTGAAGAATTCCCAATTTTACCAGTTTTAGAGGAGTCATCATCATTATCAGCTTTGAAGGAATTGGTAATATTATTAGCTTTAGAAGAATCTTCAGTCTTGAACGAATAATCTGTCCCTTGAATTTTATTGGAAGAATCATTTGTCTCTTGAGTTTTATTGGAAGAGTCATTTGTCTCTTGAGTTTTATCATTTGTCTCTTGGGTTTTATTGGAAGAATCATTTGTCTCTTGAGTTTCATTTGAAGAATCATTTGTCTCCCGAGTTTCATTGGAAGAGTCTTTTGTCTCTTGGGTTTTATTGGAAGAGTCATTCGTCTCTTGAGTTTTATTGGAAGAATCATTTGTTTCCTGAGTTTTATTGGAAGAGTCATTCGCCCCTTGAGTTTTATTGAAAGAATCATTTGTCACTTGAGTTTTATTGGAAGAATTATTTGTTTCCTGAGCTTTATTGGAAGAATCATCTGTTTCCTGAGTTTTATTGGAAAAATCATTTGTTTCTTGAGTTTTATTGGAAGAATCATTTGTCTCTTGAGTTTTATTGGACGAATCATTTGTCTCTTGAGCTTTATTGGAAGAATCATTTGCCTCCTGAGTTTTATTTGACGAATCATTTGTCTCTTGAATTTTATTGGAAGGATCATTTGTCTCTTGAGTTTTATTGGACGAATAAATTATCTCTTGAGTTTTATTGGAAGTACCATTTGTCTCTTGAGTTTTATTGGATGAATCTTGAGCTTTATTGGAAGAATTATTTGCCTCTTGAGTTTTATTGGACGAATCAATTGTCTCTTGAGTTTTATTGGAAGAATCATTTGTCTCTTGAGTTTTATTGGACGAATCATTTGTCTCTTGAAATTCGAAAGGATTATTAATTATGCCAGCTTCGGAAGAATCTTTAGTTTTAAAAGAATTATTAGTTTCGTGAGTAATAGAGGAAGAATCGACAGTTTCATTGGTATTAGAAGAATTATCAGTCTTACCAGTTTTGGGAGGATCATTAGAAGATTCGGTATATGTACCTTCTGTTTTGGAAAAACCTTCATTAATCCCAGTATTAGAAGAATCCACATTCATCTTAGAATCCGTAGCATTATTAGACTCTGTATAATATCCATTATAGGATGTTTGATTAGAAGAATCCACATTCATCTTAGAATCAGTAGCATTATTAGACTCTGTATAATATCCATAATAGGATGTTTGATTAGAAGAATCTACATTCATCTTAGAATCAGTAGCATTATTAGACTCTGTATAATTGTAATAAGATTTTTGCGTAGAGGTAGATTGAAAATGCGGGTTTTCTCGTCGTTCGAAAATTTTTTCATCATTCTTGTCTTTTTGATCTCCTCTGGTAATTACGTTTTGAATGCCTTTAGTAAACGTAGTAACTTTAGTAGTAACGCTGTTTATCAAACTTTTTTTCTTAGGTTCGATTCGTGAAAAAACTTTAGCATGAGTGAATATTTTGCGTTTTGAATCATCATTGAAATCTCTTCCAATTAATGGGAAAGAACAAATATCGACAAACGCTTCTTCAATTTCATCATCATCACACAGTACTTTCATATATTTCTTGGTTATTTTATCACCATATTGAAACCAATGATACTTGATTGTTGGTTCCTGAACTTTGAATCGGAAAAAGAATATTCTAATAACTTCACTAATTAATCCAATTGCTTTCTCATCAAGTGAAGCACTTTTTTTAGGATCTTTGAATGAACGATATCGATTTATAGACTGATTAAGTTGCTCTTGCCATTCTGAAATAAAAGGATGTAAACCATTTTCAAATGTATCAGAGAATCCGCGATAACCAAGTACGGCAAAAATTTGTTGACGTAATTTAATAGGCGCTGCTTGAGTTACAAGATCTGATCCAACACGTTCATATGATAATCTTTCAATGGATTTGATCAAGTCATTTGTTTTATAGGCAATGTTAGACTCAAGCAAATATGATAAATTTTCATCAACTTGATTAAAATCTATTTTAAAATAACTGTCCGCAAATTTTAAAATTTTTGTTAAAACATGGCGTTGTAATACTGCTTTAATTAAAGGCTTATTTGGTGTCTGTGGATCAATCTGTGTTTGGGAACCATAAATATTTAAAAGTTGGTTTACTTTATTAAAATCGATATTAACGCCTCCTTTTAAATTGCTGACGTAGTTTTCAACCAAATCTTGTAAGTTTTCAATATCGGTATTAAGTTGTGTGGTGCTATTTTTATCATCGTCATTTAAACGAAAAGTAGTCGCGTTACCAAGTGCTGCTTGTAATTTAGATGCCTCATCTCTTAATTCTTTAATTTTCCGGTCCTTTTGTTCATTATGATTATTTGAAGAAACGAGTTTAATATAATTATCGTCTCTTTCTTTTTGAAGTTGTGAGATCGATTGATCATGTTTGCTAATCTGCTGCACCAAAAAAACGTTTTGTTCTTCGAGTTCTTTGATGTTTTTTTCTAAAACTTCTTTATTTGCTTGAAACCTTTGAATATATTGTTTATAAGTAGATATATCTTTTTTCTCATCATCGAGCCTCTGATTTCTATCCAATAAATTTTTGCACTCATTTTGTTTTTCCGATAACTCTTTGGTTAAATTTTCTATAAGTTCTATAAGATCTTGGTTAGTCTTTTGATCATTTTCTCGTTGTTCATTTAACTCATTAATGGTTTCTTGAAGTTTTTTATTTATATTTTCATTTTCTGTTATTATGCCATTCAATGAATTTTCTCGTGTCAAGTTATTGGCTTTTAAATCATTGACTTGGCTTAGAATATATATCAGTAGAGAGCTTTTTTCCGGAAATTCTTCACTTAATTTACTTAATTGAGATTCTATTGATCCTTCCTCGAACTTTAAGCCCTCCATTAGTTCACCTTCACGATAAGTGTCAATAGTAGTCATCTTTGATAAGTATTTTTTTTGAAATGGTAAAAGGGTTTGATTAAAATAGCGAGACGAAAATCTTTTGTTCTGTCCTTTATGTGATTAAAAGATCTTTTTAAAAGATCCTTTATTAATAAACAAAGGTACGTATGTATTTAATTGAGTACGTATTTGATTATACCGTGAAACAAATCTAATCACGGACAAATTTCACTTTTTT